CTGCCGTGAAGCTGTCCGTTACTTGAGAAGCCGTCTGCGATGGGGCACCAGTTTTACCAGCAGCCGAAGCCCTAGCCCCCTCTTGACTGGGCCGGTGATAGTCAGTGGGTGTTTGGGTCCAGTGGAGTTCTTATTTAATATGGTGGCGGCGTCTTCTTTTTTTTTGCTATCCACTTCCAGTGCAGTGGGTCGTCACGTGTCTTTTGGATAACGAAACTGGCCCCTGACCGCCTTCTCCGGTTTTTTTCCGTCCCTGTGCTGAACAGCTGCTGCTGCAGGACTTTGAGGCCAAGGAGATCCCACTGGAAAAGCAGGACCCGGAGTACAGCAGTGAGGACATCCACATCCTGCTCCTCCGCTCCCGAGCCTCTTAATGCTGGGGCCTGGGTACTGTCTGCGGGGAGACGCCACCAGGGCCATTGAGTGGGCTGTGTAGGGACAGGCCAGGAGTGTCGTGAAGGCGTACAGCGTGGAACTGTCTTGAGATGCTTACTTCTAAAACCCGCCCCCTGCAGAGAGTGGGGCTCTTCCATCGCTAGAGGCCTGTGGTCTTGTCTGCTTCGTAAAAGGGTGTTATTCCCAGTGGGCTGCCGTGTAGAATGTGGGCTGGAAATGAAAATGATCTGCGTCCAAATTCTCAAGATCGAGTGAACAAGTATTTTTTTTGTTCTTTACCGTCAATAAATGTTTTTTTAAAAATGCTGCATCGCTGGCTCTTCCAAGAGGGTAAAATAGAATTTCTGAAACGGCGAGGAGATCAGTTAAGTCGCCAGTTCGGGCTGGAGAGCGAGAGAGATGCGAGCTAGCATGGAATTTAGGTCCAGGCTAATCGATGTCGCAAGACAGAAATCCATGAGATTGCAAAAATAAATATAACCATATTTAATTCCCACTATTTACAGACCAACTATACATTGTAAGTGGATTGGTTTAATAATAGCTTTCTGAAAACAATTTCATGCTCTTGCCACAAAAAATGTTGACTGAAAATATTTACTTTGATTAAAAAAAAAAAACAGATTGTGGTCATGTTTCCTTACTACTTTTGGCTGTGGAAGGATGCCCCATATCAACTTTCTATCCATTCTTTCTATCCTTTCATATCCAGTTTCTTCAATTCTGGCAAATTCTGGGAGGACAACACTTCCCAGAAATCTGTGGGTGAGAAGTCTGCATCATGTGACCAACCCAGCACAGGATAAAAACAGGAAGCTGGGGATAGTTTAAGGCCGCTTTTAGACCTTGAAAAGGAAGTATACAGAGATGGTGTGGAAACTTGTCCACTGGATGGAAGACAATATTGTACTACCCTTAGGGAAAAAGTAATTTAAAATAATAGAAGAAACCATCCTGCCTGCTCTCGCTCTTATGAGTCAAGAGGCTAAGGAACCTTTTTACAGCTAACTTGGCTGTGGCATTAAACAGAAAAGCATTCTTCAAAACAACCCTTTGTGTCACCTTCACTCAGACAAGCCAAAGGCAAGGTTTTCCCATTCATTTATCATCGAGAGTCTTGCAAGGCTGGGGATGATATTTAAAATTTCAGCCTCTTAAAAAAAAAAGCAAAAATGCAATTGGGCATTTCACCTCTCCTGCCTTTATCTGGGGCTGCTGTGAGTAGTGTGAACAGGCTCAGGAAACACTTATAATGTTACATGTGTGGTAAAACTGCCTTTCAATGGGTTATAGGGTAAGAGACAGGGCCAGTGCGGATGTAATCTTAAAATGGTTTCTAAATCCTAACAGGAACAAAGATTTGTCACCTTTGGTCAAAGGGCTGCAGCCATCGAGGGGGCTAACACATAGATGCTGACTCGTTTTCCTCTGTGCATGAAAGTGCAGGGTGAGTAGTGGGCCGTGGGAGTGTGTTTAGTGTGTAAGGAGAGTAAGCCTGTCCGTGTGAGGTTGAGTCAGCTGCCTCGTCACTCAGCGGTTCCAACACGCGAATTCCGTTTCCATTGCGCCGATACAGCCCCCAGTCTTGGCTCCCGTCAGCTGCGAGTGGCCGAGAGCTGGGCCTCCTGCTTCCCTACTGCCAACGAACAGCTCCCAGCTAGAGGAGGCCGTTCGACAGAGCTAGCCGAGAGGGCAGTAGAAGGCCGATCGAAGGATCTCCTCCGGCCATTTCGACCAGCGAGCTGGGCTGCTTGTTTTATACTCACACAGCTTAAGGAAGTGCCTTCTGTGCTCAATTTTAAATGCAACTGCATGGAGTCCACCTACCGAGGCCTGTCAGTGACCTAATAGCGTCTAATAGCAGTTTAGTGCAATTACAGTCAGCTTCCTCAGGTCCTGACCTTTAGGTGACTTTTTTTACCATTGTGGTTAAGTTCCCATGGGGCCCTTCAGTGACTAGAGCAGAGGAAGAGGGTGGGTTGGACTAGAAAGATTAATTGGCATCTGTAGTTTTTTTCTATAAATGGAAACAATGGCTTATTTGAGTTAATTGCCTCCTGCCTGTCTCTATATTTTCTCTTGGCAAATTGGGTGATTAAGTTCACAGCAGTAGGCACCATTACAATTCCCAGGTTGCTGGAGAGAGGATATGTTTTGGCCTAATTGCTTTGACACGGATCTGCTGCTGAACCCCTCCAGGAAGAGGAGGAGGGTTCGGATAGTTGTGGGGGTGCTGTGGACAGCGCAGGGCCTGTCAATAAAGAGGGCAGAAGAGGCGGACGGTTAATGACAGTATTGCCAGGTCAATAATTTGCAAACAGTCACAGATTTACAAACATTTAGAACAATAAGATGCTATTATTCCAGAGACTCACTCTGTCCCTCAGGCTGGGACAGGACATCTGTCACTCTCGGACCCTGGCTCCTGGGTCAGTGACTTCACCACCGGACACCAGCTCTGTCCTTTAGAGAGAGAGGGAGTCATCCCTGCTGCTCACCCATGTCTCTTCCTTCTTTTTGTGAGATTCCCCAGGTGGACTCATTGTGACAGAAGACACCTGCATGAGAAATCACTTCTTTCACTCTGAACATTTGAAATAGAGAATGTTAGAGAGTAAATAGCGATACAAAATAGGATACTCCACAATGACCTACAACCGTTAAAAGTTCATACAAGTGGATTATATATAACATGGATTACACTTACTGCAAGTGGCCAACAGATGGAGCTAAGTGTTTAAATAATGAGGCAAGGCAGTTCACACGGTAAAGGGTAACACCTTAAAATATATATTTTTAATGAGTATTTTCATGTTTCATTAGAATCAGATTCTGTGAAACAGAAACATGTAAATATAATGCAACACAACTTGGCTTTATGTATAGCAAATGTGTACAAATATGTTCATGTCAGTAGAGTATGTTAAACAAAGATTTGAGTTTGATGGGAATTGTTCTACATTACCTTTGACTTCCCTGTTAACCGTTGTCAGGAGAAGCTGCCACTTCCTCCCTTCAGTTATTAGGCCTTAAAGGGGCCAGACCCTGTTTCCCAATCTATAGAGAGGAAGCAGCTGTACTGCACTTTCAGCCTACATAGAATAAGTGACTCATTTTGCATAACTGTCTTTTACTATAACAGGTTAACAAAAAAGGCACATTTGGTGCTTTATTTAAATATTTTGAAATGTGAATGTAAATGAGGGGGTTTTTGCCAACGGCTCACTTTTATTTACAAATTTCAACTTGCATGTTCCCTCCCAGGAGAATGTGTGACACGAGTGCTGAAGTTCAAACTGGGCCTGGTGAAGTTAGAAACAGCGCCTAATTCGAGAGTGATGATCTCACGCCCAGCGAGTGGAGTTTCTGCACTATGCTGAGCTGTGAGCCTTGTGTCTCATACAGGGCCCCTGTCGCCACCAGGCCTGACACACAGGCAGGATGTGGCTTTGAGTCTGACTATGCACTCGAATATATATTCACGACCTGCGTCATTCCTCCAGTAATCTCTGCAGCTCGCCTTGTCTGGTGAAGTGTGCACCATCATTGCAGGGGATTGCACAAGAAGGTTTAATAGGACAGTCACAGCCTAACATCACTGTGAGCTTTAACAGCACTGTGTTAAGATGCCCTTAAAAAGACACCCCATCATCTCCTAAAACAGATATAACACAAGTTTTGTTTTTTAACAAAAACATGAAAAAATACAAAGTTATAATACATCTGTCTCTCACTTGGTACAGTTATTTGCATGTTTATATTATTATCGTGTTTCAATACCACGATATTTTCCTGCTTTGTCATCACCATAGAAACCAACGCGGGCCTCTAGTGCATTTAGGAGAAAGATGTGGCCTCATCCTTCAAGAGAGAGCGCAGAGCCCGGTTTCATTGCGCAAAGCCCCCAGAGATGCCCCTGCTGCGACTCCAGCACACGATACACCCACTCACAGGGCACCTGAACCTCTCAGCCAGCCACGTCCTGCACTGGCCTCACTCACAAACCCCTTCTCTCACACTGTGCAGTCGTACACGTTTCGTACATGGAGCCCAAACGGAGGCTCTCTCAGCTTTCTACATCCAGGCTGTGGGAAACTTCAGTCAAACAGAAACAGGCGACTCAGGCTAATCTAATCCGAAGTGCTTTGCGGAGGGCTTCCATTTAAGAGATTAAACGATTAGAGCTCCGCATTAATACATGCACACATTGACGACTTTGTAGAAGACGGTGATTTGATCTGAAAGTCCGTCTCTAGATTGTATCGGAGAAATTGCGTTCAGATGGCATGTGTTGGACTAGCACTGTGCTTTCCGGGGCCCACTGTGATTGGAGCTCTGTCCCAGCACAGTCTGCAGCACTGAGTCCTCTCTGTGCCCCCCCCACCCTTCTTGGCACTGACTGCCTGATCTGTTACATCAGGCACAGCAAGACACAGCTGTCGCAGTCATGACACACGCTCGCACGCCGACTGCACCGGGCCGACTCCTGCCCTGTGCTCTGGGGACACGGGCAGGGGAGAAGGGGGGGTGTATCTCTACAGAGAAACGGATGCCTTCTCACGTCTCTCTTCACTGGCTCCCTTTCTCTCTGTCAGCTTGCCCTCTACTCCAGATAGACTTGATTTGATCAGGCACCTCGCTAGTGCATGAGGCAGCTGCCCAGTGTCATCATTCCATCCTCTCTTGTACGTGCTCGGGCAGTGTTCTCCAAGACTGCTGTAGGCCACTGCATTTCCTTATGGAGCTTCAATAAGGTACATTCTGTATAAAACCTTGAGTGGGCTCTGTGGGGCAACCTGAGGGATTATCTCCTTTCTAGACAGTCGGGCAGGGTCAGGGTCTCGGCAGGGAACTGGGCATCGCTCTCTGCATGGACTGTGGCGGGAAGAGCAACATCACCTTCACCTCCAACATTGCTCCTGTCCGAGACGGCACCTGCGACCCATGCGTTGGAGAGACCCACGGCAAATATCCAAAATCCCGAAGGACACTGACAAAGTCAACCCTGCGGTCTTCCCAGGAGGAAACCGCATGGAAGTGCATTTAAAGCCGAGAACAGGGGTCCAGTCTTCACCCCAAGGGCTGAGGGAAATGGAACAAGCCACCAAGCCAAGCCATTGAAGCCAATGGCCTGAATTCTTTCAGGAACAGTCTTTTTTCATTGGCTACTATCTACCATTGTGGCCTCCTCTTCTCTGTAAGCTTTCTTATGTTACGTAGGTGTTAGTGTGTTTTATTTTGCGTGCCGTTTTCCTGACTTGCGCCGCAAGAATTAACTTACAATGTGAGAAACGTGGAAAGAGAACCAACAATTGTCCTGCAGACGTCACCAGCGTCGCTCTGTTGAAAAGGCCACAGCGTCTAGATCTCACTGCTCACCCTGCCACACAGACTCTCAGGGCCCGGCCTGCAGCACAGACCGCTTGATCAGAGCCTCCTTTCACCAGGGGGAAGGATGAAAGGACTCTTCAAGTTAAGAAGGACGACATCATAAACTGAAGCATTTGCATGAATTTGCACACCCAAATCCCAAGGCTGAGGGCTGGCAGACACACCCCTCCCGCCACTGGGCTGTGCTGTGTAAATACACAGAAGGCCCTGGGAGGAAAGAGAATTAGACTG